AAGTTTAAGAATAAGATGGGATTTTTGTATTAGGCATTTGAAGTTTTATATTATATTGAAAAGGAATTTTTGGAACCTGGAATTTTATGACCTCTAGACAATTTTGCAGTATTTTGGTTCATTAGTCTCTAATATTTATTGATTCTGGTGAAATGGTAACTGGTATGTTCAAGGTTCCAAATCATTGGTGACCCAACTTTTCTACATCCATACTAAATAAGTCTAGCGGAAGTCTTCAAAAATGTACTTAAATAATGATTTTTTAAATCACCAAAGATTGTGGCTACCACAACTTTTAAATTACTGAAGACTGTGACAGCTTACAGAAAAGAAGCTATACTTCAAAAAAACTACAGAATTCTCATCTTCCACACTCTTTTCTTCCTGGCATTTATGGATGGTGAGAGAAAAGCTTGTTCATTGCCCACCTTCCTTCACTCTTTTTTTTTTTAACATTTTTTTTCTCTAAGAGTAAGTTTTCGCAGTGGGGTACAAGTCAATTTTAAAGTTACTGTACAGAGCCCACACCTGGTTAGAAGATTACAAAACTACTGTTTTGGTGCATTGAAGGTACACTTGTAACTTGGGATGATTTTGCTTTTCCTCTATTTGTTACAACTGTGAAAAGCATGTCCCATTAAACAATTATAAGTAGCTAGTCTCCTGAAGGACAAAAAATTCACAACTTTTACTTTCACATTTTTAAGGTCAAATGATTGGTGTTTTGGTTTTGCTCACGTGTATAAATATGTATGTACATGCATGTACATATATACATATTGACTTTGCTCATACTCATAAATATGTATGTGTGGATAGAGACAGACAGATCGATATCTGTGCCAATGCAGTAATGTTTATGCAAAAATAATTTTCAGGAAGTTGTATTCGATTTTGTTTAGAAATATATGCTCCTAAAACAGAAGTCTCAAATGGGCAGCCTATAGGCTGAAATAGACTCCAGAGCCTGGTTTCATTTGTCCTGCATGGTGTTTTATTGTTGTTGTTGCTGTTGTTATTATTATTACTTAACCTTTAGCCATCAGGAGATTTCACAGAGATATTCAGATTTCTAATTCCTTCTGAAAAATCTGGAAACACTATAAGAAACTGTGTGCAGTTCAAACGCTGGTGATGCTGTGATTTTAAACTGCAAATGGCAACAATTTAAGGGCTTCTATCCCTTCATCTTGCTGTTTCTCTTCCGTATCAAATGGTGTTAGCTACAAGCACTGAAATGCTTACCCAGAATGCTCCTTGGCTTAATGGGGTATTACATGCCATCTTGTTCCACCTGTAATTTTTTCCCCCAATTTCTGTTATATCAATTTTTTCTCCATAAAGTTTTTTACATTTGGGATTATTTTCTTCCTCTCTTTGCTATGACTTTTATTCAGGTCATATTTTTCTAACTTCGAGGCTGCTAAATGTATTGCTGTCTTAGTTTTCACCACGTCACTTCCCCTAACGTTCCCTCTGTCTGTCCCACCCCATTCTGCACGCCAGTTACAGATGTACAGATTTATATGCCCAACTCTTGCTTCAGTATATGAGTTCCTGACCTCAGCATTGCAGTGACAACACAGAACCAGTGTCCAACTACTTAATCTGAAGTCAGAGCTCTGTTTATTTTTTCCCTTCATTTTGTGTTAATCCACATGAGAACAAATAGCCAGTATGCCAATTTCTCTAGCACCAGAATGGGCATCTTCCAGCCTCTGATGCTTTTGCTCCCAGCATTATCTCCTTCTCTCCACCCGTGTAGACAGATTGTGACTGCCTTCAAGACTAGACTTCCTAGGCTCATCTTGCCTGGTGCTTCTTTCAAAATCATGCCTTGTTTCTCTGATTTTCTTAAAGCAGGGTTTCTACATGACTTTGAAATGAGTACGTTTTCAGGTCTACCAGTGGTATTTCTCAAACACGGTTTACCCTAATTATTGTTAACAACTCTGAGTGTGGTTTTCACCATCTCTTTGACACCATTGCTGAGGCCATCAGGTTCATGATTCATCTGAAGAAAAGTGAAAAGAAAAGTGAAAAGCAAATAAGAGCCTTTTGCCTTCCTAGCAAAAGCAAGACAATTGAATGAGAAAATTGAAGAATAAGTTTCTTGAGCACAAGAGTGTGTTTCTTTTTTTGATATTGTTCTCTGTCATGCCCATACTTCATCTCTAGTAATGCCACAGTTAATAAATGTTGAATTGAACTGAATAAATCACAAGAATGCTTGAAGTTGAGAAGTTAGAAAGAAGAGCAGTACTCAGAACGGTGGTGACGGTGATATCTCCTATAGGTTGCAAGCTCACTCTGAGGTCTGGCACTGCACTTCGTGTCTCCAGTGAATGCTCACTCCAACCCTAATAAGGCATTGCTGTTATTATCCACATTTTAACAAGAGGGAGTGTTCATTGGGGGTTCCGAAGGGAAGCAACAGAGATGCTGCTGTGAGAGATGCAACCACTTTTTTTTTTGTCATTCTTGAAATAAGAAAGATTTTTGAGCAACATAAAGAGGTACTTTTAAAGTATCTTTTTTTAAAAGCAAGGATAGGCTAGGTTGGAGGTTGATAAAAAGAAAATTCTTATTGACAACTGTTTGGGAAGTCACTGTGATGAAGTGGCTTAATAAAAAGAACAGAATTTGTAAGTGGAAGAGCTGGGTTTGAGACTCAGTTTGCCACTTAACAGGTCTGTAAGTTGATGCAAAGTCCACAATATCTCTAAGCCTCAGTCTCTTAATCTGTAAAATGGGGACAATAGTACTGCAAAACAGGTTGTTGTAGGGATCAAATGAAAGAATGTATAAAAATACTGTAGGAAGTGTTGTTGCTATTACAGATTGCTCAAAGTATAAACTAAGCTCTCTAAAAACATAGCTGTACTATTCTGCGTAGTGCTCAGAGTCAGTTTTGGGGGAAAAGGGAAAGAAGCAGAAAAATAACAAAATCTCATTTTCACAATTTCACAAAGCAGGTATTCTAGTCCCTGGTTAAGGAAACTGAGGCTCCAAGAGGTGAAGTAACATGCCACAATTCACATAGTAGATAGCTGAGCTGAGATTTAAAAACCATGCCTGCCTGACTCAGATGCCATGCTCTTTTTACTGCACCAGTCTGTCTTTTTTATTTTTTTGATAAGCCAGCCAACCCATATACTTTCTCTTAACATTAAAAAAAAAAAAAAAAGACATTTGTGTTTGAAAACTAACTCATCCTGATAATTCCCAATTAAGATGTTGTCATCTAGCATCTGGCTCAATTTCCTTTTATGAAATATAGTAAACATAATTTGAGTGTAACTTAAATGAAGTATCCAAATGAGATAAAACAGGTCACCTGGGAAATTAGATTTTATAGATTACAAGAATTCAATGCCTAAGCTGTTCTTAATGGGCACACTTTTTTAAAAAGAAAATTATTCAGGAAACAATTGATTGTCCTATCAATTTCGTCACTTATTTCTATATGACATCTATAGCATGAAACAATTAAAGTAAAAATAAATAATATAAACTTCACGTTAAGTAGTGATGAGGAACATCTCTGTCTTCATGGATTTGGGATTCATAAGAAAAACACAGGGAATCTTTGGTGCAAGTTCAATTTTTGCCTTCTACTTTGTTTCTAAAAGATTCTATTTAAAAGCTATCTTAATAAAAAATAAATTAGAGAATTTTCTAGCCCTGCAGCTTTTTTAAAAGAAATGATTCTGAGAATGCTTCGTGTCTGCATCAAATTTTATCCTGAAATAGAGTTTCATAAAAAGATGAGTCCCACCTTTTTTTGAAAAAGTAAACATATTTTTTAAATGAGGGTGGGGATAGGGTAGAATTAAGGATAAAAGTAGATGTGAGGGTATGATGAAGTTGGAGGTGTTGATTTAAACATTGTAGGAAAACATTTTTGAGCACACATCATATCTTGACAAGTAACTTAAACATTTTTTTCTTTGGAATGTGATGAGGTGGTGGTTAAATTCACATGCTGTAGAATCAGTCATACAACCTGGCATTGAATCCCAGCTCTGACACCTCCTAATTTTGTAATTTTAGGCAAGTTACTGGAACTCTCTAAGGCTCTGTTTTCTCATCAGCAAATTAAAGATATTATGTGCTTCATAGGGTTGTCATAATAATTCAGCATAATTATCAATAAAATGCAAGGAAACATGGTCAATGTTGATATTATTATTGTGTTGTATAACTTACTTGATATATTTCGTAGAGTCTCTCATGATCTTATAAAATAATTTTTTAAAATTTCAACTACTTAAAAGCTGTCCCTTTACAATGTAAGATTCTTGAAATGGTAAAAAAAAAAATACTCCATTTTAATAAGATATTAAATCAGTTACCTTTAAGAGTCTTTGAACGTGTTCATAAAGTCAGAAGATTATAAAACTAAGCCTTCTAGTAAATAATCATGGGTTTAGACATATTTTCAAAAGTGCATAAATTTGTACTCATAATAGGAGGATATATCGATTCGTGTGTATATTTCAAGCAACCATCTTACGCATGTTGTGCCCATGGCCGATAGCATTCTCCCCTGGGAAGGTGGCTTCTCTAATTGCAGTGAATGGCGATTCTATTTGTAGACATACTTTCCTACAGCACTCATTCCTTTCTGTGATTATTATTTAAAAATACTTGTCCTTAAATTATTTAGTCTTCTTGGCTATAAAGGAAAATAATCTATAGCACTATAGGAACCTCACAGATAATATGTAACTGAGTTAAAAATGCATATTCAGTCTTACCAACAAAGTAATTTATGTTTCCTGCAACACGGGGATTATAAGAAGCATTTCAAAGCTAAGGATTCTCAAATGAACACTTAGGCCACATGTGTGTTTAAAAAAAAAAAAAGAATGAAAATCAGAAGTACAAATATCACTTGGGCTGCCAGGACATTCTTTCTCCTTCTCCCATGCTAGTCTTGCTTATAAACAAAAGCAAAATTTTCATTCCAATAAAAAATCAAGAGCAAGAAAACTTACCTTCCTTCAACCAAGAAATGTTATTTTTATCATTTTCAAAATGCTCAGCTGTTCTTACTTTTATCTTTTCCAGCTCAGTTTCTGACATCTAAGTGGAAACAGAATTTGTGATATAAAAAATTCATTAAGAACCCAAATTTATAACATTGAGTTTTATATTTAGAGACTACTGCCATATTATGGGAAAATTTTATCTCTATAGTTTTTAAATTCACTGTCCCATGTTAAGTCTTACATTTATCCACTTGTGTTATTTTAAAACATTGACATTGAAAACTAAACTTTACATGATATTTCACTGTTCGGCAATAAAGTTTACTATAAGATCTTACAATTTCTGATTGTGAATGAATAACAGATAAACAACTAGCCATAGATTTGTAGCAAACAAACAAACATTAAGTGGCTGTTTTCATGTTTTTTATAGTCTATAGAAAAGCATGCTGCAAAGTGATATACAAAGATATAAATAACAAAACACAAAAGGGCCTTTTCAGGAATTTATTGGGTAGAATGAGAACCTTATGACCTAAACCAGGCCAAATTGAGCTCTCTGAAAGTGTCGAAGAGACCTATGAGACACCTCTAGCGCAGTGCACTTGACTTTCATGGCTTGCACACGAACTAGGACGCTCTGCTTGAATCACTTACCTGTGTGTTGCAGAGGGAGGAGGCCCAAGGTGTGGGACTGGCGAGCAGCGTGCTGCAGCCTCCCTTGTCTTGGGATGTCCAGCATTCCTCTGCCCTGACAGAAATGAGTGAAGAAGCAAATACACTCCCTCCCTGGGTGGTGCTAGATTTGTATTGCTGCCAGAAGCATCCAACTTGCAGCTGAGAGGTTTTTTTTTTAAAGGTAATATAAAGCCTGTGGTTCGAAACAATAAAAACCTTTTCCAGGCTTGCACTTATTTAAAATGACACTCTGCAAAATAGGGAAGAAATAATGAACTCCTGTCAAATGGACAAAGTTACTTCCATCTCTCTCCTTCCATACCCGCCATTCATTACTTAGGGTTAGTACTAAAAAGAGGTAGAAAAAAATTATTGAAAAAGAGATACAGAGTTAAAAAAAAAAAAAAAAAAAAAAGGAAGAGAAACCTTTAAAGCTACATTCTCTGGAAGTTCATCCTGCAGCTGATATTTTGAAAAGCAGTTTTGTTTCCCCTAATGTTTTATAAACAACAAGAAAACATTTCAAGTTCTTTTGATCATTTGCAGATATTCCAAAGAGGGTTTAGAATAACATTCCAAAGAGGATTTGTCATTAGATTCTCAGTTACAAATACTGTTTTCAACCGAAAGTTAAAAACAAAAAAGCATAACCCTTGGATGCACATGATGATAAAAAGTCCATCATTTCTGAAAGCTGTTGTTTTTTTCTTCATGGAAAATAATATTCTTTTTTTGACCTCAGGCGGTTTGCCTTTATCGGGACAAATGTCTACTCTCTGATTGTCTTGTATCCATTTTATCTCCTTTCCTAATTTCATTTCTTCTTGTAGTTTGCTCCCTGTACTACTATCTTTGAAAATGTTTTTGATCAGCCAATATTAAAATAACTGTTTCATTTTCAGTAAGGTGAATTTCAGATTAGACAGTCAAGGAAGACCTTGAATGGTCTGATTCTACGCTGTGATTTTCAAAATGTGACCCATAAAGTTTTAGGATTTCTTGTAGTCTCCTAAACTTTACTCCTAAATTGCATGGTGGCTGTTCCTGGAACTGACTTGCTCCTATTATCAACATTCCTGAAAATGTTTCCTCAAAATTCCATCTCCACCCCTCCTTTAAGTTTTCCTAATCTATGTCATCTGGAAATTATCTTTCCCTTCTCTGATACCACTTAGGACTCCTGGTATGACCGGTCTGTTTTTGTCTTCTGTTAACCTGTCTTATCTTCCTGACAAGACTAGAACCTCACCCCCACCAGGGCTCAGCCTTTATCTCACTATTTCATGCATCTTGCTCAATGTTCAACATGAAATTAATCATTGTAGGATAAACTAAGACAGCATATCAAAAACTGATGATAGTGTTTTATTTGTCCCAGAGTCTTGCAGTACACCTGACTACCTTTAATTTCTCTTTTTTTTAATGTTTAGTTATAGTACTTTATGTCACTTCCTCATATTTTTGGAGACCTAATCTAATTTCCTTAATAATTTAATCACTGTCCTTTGTAAAAGCAAATTATCTAAATTTTACATACTAGTGGTGCCAGAAAGACATTTGGTGCCAAATAATCACAATGACTGTAAAGCAATGAACAGAGATAGCACAGGAAATAAAGGAAATCTAAGGTGGAAATATCTAGATGAGAAGAGATAATTGAGAACTTGAATAGTATGCCAGGTAGGTAGTCTGGGAATGGAACCGAATTTGAGGACGTCCTGCCGGGCTTTCCTGCAAAATTGATTGCTTGCTTGTTGGTAAGCAAGAAAGTCCCACACATTTGGTAACAAAAGTCTTCTGTGTTGATTGTTGTGATAAGAGAGCATAATAACACTTGTGATTTGGAAGAAAAAAAATACAACCTGGAGAAAATGAATGAACCTGGGTCAGTGTTGAATATATTATTCCTCCTTGTTTATTTTCAACTTTTTATACTTATATTCAACTAAACTATTTCTCAATTTTCTCTCTCCAAAGCAACCCATTACTCAAATCCTTGTCCACTTTTCTCACTTTGGAAATTACAGATTATTATTTGATTATAGTTTATCCATTGATTATTCTTGACATATATATTTTCTACTTGTTTACTTTCACAATTACTATGATATTATTTGAGACCCAATATTATTAAGTAAAATGTAAACTTTAAACTCTTATGCAAGATTTTGCTCTGAGGAGGGAATTATTATGAAGATAAGTATGAAAACTAATTTGGGAATAATATTCAACTTTGGTTGATGTATTTTCAGCATGTGCTTAGTCCTAACCCTTGGAATTTTTCTGTTGTTTTGCTTTATTATCTTTTCCTGCTTGGCTTCCTTCTGCTGTTTGATTTTGCTTTTGCTCTTTGAACTGGTTTTTGTTCTTAAAAGTACACAATATTGCTTGAATGTTCTATTTGGAATTTTATTTCATTCTGAACAGTACCATTTTTCAAAGTTAGACAAACTCAATTTGAATTCTGTTGCCGTCTTCACGAGTATGCAACCATCCCTTATGAGAGTTGTAAATGCTAATAAGCATAGTATTTCATTTTCTTCATTCACTTTATTAGAAAAAAGATAAGAATAGGCACTGAGTACTTTTTCCTGAATCAACTGTATATCACTCGTGTGCTTATGGGACATTGCGTTAAGGGTATTTCATACTGATGCCAACCTTCAAACCATTTATTTGTCCACGTAGTGATGTCCTTGGACCACGGAATTCTCCTTCTGGGTAATGGAGTCTGAGCGGGTCTAGGATTGTAGTCTCTTTAGCTGGTCTGGGCCTTGGAATGAATGAGGTGAACTCACAGTTAATGGCTGGGAGTGAAGAGAAACCAAAGTCATATGAACCCCAGGCAGGTCAGACTGGGAAACCACAGGTGGTCCAACATGAAGCTCAAAAGTGACAGGCAAGCCTCGGAAGTGAGGCAGTTCTGATTCCATTCCAAGGAGAGTAAAACACATTTTAAAAAGAAAACGTGTCCAAATAATGTTTACTGTGCCCATTTAAAATAATGAACTAAATAACTTATAACTAAGGATGTGGTCTCAAGGCTCACAGTTTCTTCCTAAGTCCTATTATCTTTTAAAAATGGAGATAGTGTGGTTGTACTCCTCTTTTTATAATTCTTTTCCTTTTATTTTGACTCGAGTCTCAATATTTCTAATTCCTATTCAAAATCTGATCCAGAAATAGAAGCTTTAAGGGCAAACTATCCAGCAGAAGGCAATGTTTGCCAAGAGAAAAACCTGCAATATTAGCACACATTTCATGGTTTTGTTTCTGTAAAAATAGAATTGAATGCATGAAACTAGAGCCTTTTAAACAAACAAATATGCATATACTATCATATATATTTTTAAATATCACTTCCATTGTTCATAAAACAATGAAATTATATGTCTAATATAAGAATATGATGTTAAACAATGCGTAAATATGTCACTAACTCATATTATTGGATTTGGGGACTGTAATTAGGAGAGTAGAACTCTCTGAAAGATTTGCAGATTGGATCCAAATACAAGTGGTATATATAAGAAGGTATACGACTCCTTTGGAAGTATATTTTATGTTACAGAATGGAATCTCTGTTACTCAGTATAATTAATTAAAATTTTTTGAAGAGCCATTCTAATGACCAATATATGTCATCAAATATTTCACATTTAAAAAATTCTCTTTGGGTTTTTGTGGGCTTGATACAAAAATACACAGGGCATAAATGAACATTGGCCCGAGGTATCGAAGGGAAAGGTAAATTAAACAAGAAGAAAATTCCATATTTGTAACAGGCTCTTCCAATGGAAGTTTACAACTAACACCACAAGGCATACCAATTCAAAGATTTATTAGATGTTAGATCTCATCGAAAGTTTAGGTATGAAAAATAACACACAGTTATAGAAAATGAATTAAGTTTTATTTTCTTTTCATGCCAGGTCATTTAAAAAAAATCTACTTACTTTGACCAAATTATTTTCATATGTGATGGAATTGCTTTTTGTAACTTAGACATTGACTGGCGTTGAGAAATGACATAACAATAAACATGAGAATGACACTTGTTAGTAGGCTTATTATGAAGATTCTTGGCTCCTATGGGGATTTCAATATTCATCCTTAGCATAGTCTACTTAAAGTCAATATTGCTCCACTTTATGTTAAGGGTAATAACTTTATAACTGTATAATTTCATTTACTCATTCTATCCTTTGTCCTATTATACTCAAATATTTCACATCTACAAATGCTATATACCCCAGTCAATGTCTGTGTGTACAGGCATATAGGCACACCTCGTTTTATTGCATTTTGCTTTATTATGCTTTGCAGATATTGTATTTTTTACAAGTTGAAGATTTGTGTCAACTTTGTGTGAATCAAGTCTATTGGCACCATTTCCCCAACACTGTATGCTCACTTCATGTCTCTGTGTCAGCACTTTTCAGCAATAAAGTATTCTTTCATTATACATACACTGTGTTTTGGATATAATGCTACTGCACACTTAATAGACTACAGTATAGTGAAAACGTAATTTTTATATGCATGGAAACCAAAAATTTTGTCTAACTTACTTTATTGTGATATTTTCTCTATTGCAGTTGTCTAGAACCAAATTCACAATATCTCCAAGATATGCCTGAATGTATATATGTATACATATGTATATACACACACAAATACAAATATGAACAGCTAGTTGTCTTTTAAAGTAATTAAGAGAAAAACAATTTTTAAAATTTTTACTCCAGTAGTTACCATTTCTGGTTTTCCTCATTCCTTCTGGTAGCTCTGAATTTTCATCTGATTTTATTCAGCCTGAAGAACTTTTTCAGCATTTCTTGAAATGCAGTTCTGTTGATATCAAACTATGTCATTCACTCTCATTTGTTCAGAATATTTACCTTGAATATTGAATTCTTGATTTAGCTCTTCCTTCCTTCCCTCCTCCCTCCCTCCCACTCTCCCTCTCTGCTTCTCTTTTCCTTTTTCTCTCTCTTTTGTAAAACATCATTTCTTTCACTGCTTCCCTATACTTAACATTTTAACATGTCTTC